AGATACAGTTGTAGGTTAGTGGTCCTTTTTTATAACTAAAAAACGCATTGAAATTTTTGAAAAATCTTTGAAAATAACTAAGATAACACCAAAAACCTGAAAATATCAAATTTCTTTTTCCTTTCTTCTAGCTTAAAAATCGGAAATGGACGGTTCCCGTTGGCACCATTATGGGCATTTTTTTTCGAAAAAATCTGAATCTGTTATCAGAATTTGGATTAACACGCTAGATGTAGATGCTACGAGCTACTACTTTTCTTAGTTTTATTGTACGCCATATTGCGTTTTGATGATGTCTCACACCGAAAATCTGAAAAAATGTCAAATTTCGTTTTTATTGAAAGAGATATAGGACAAAAAAGAAATTCATCTCATTCATCACCATCAGACAGGCATGTTGATTCAGCAAAATTTAGTTACCCGTGGATATTTTGTCGAGAATTGATATAAAACATTTTGATTTTGAATTTTTCTTGTAAATTTCGAGGTCATATGACACGTCCATAATATTTTCTTTTTTTCTTCCTCTCTCTCTCTCTTTCCCTAAAAATCCAAAATGGCGCCCATAAGAAATAAGGAAAGTAATACCTGTAGCCTTTACATCTAGCGTGTTATTGAAATGCGGCTAACGAATTTAAATTCTCCGGAAAAAAAAAAATAAGCTGTAAAGGACCGCTCATTTCCGACGTTTTAAGCCAGGGAAAATGAAAAACAAATTTGACATTTTTCAGTTGTTTCGGCGATATCTGTTATTTTCAAAGACACTTGAATTCGGAACAGAATGATAATAAATAACGGGTTACATACGCTATTTTTGAGGCAAACCTTTTTTGACCTAGAAAAGATATCAGTTTCAAGGGATGATTTATTGCGGGTTTAATTTCATTCGCATAAGCGAGACGAATTGGGATGTAGCGGTCATTTCATTTCGAGTTGCGACTACCAGTTCCGTAATCTTATTATTTAAAAATCACTCACTTAATTTTATTACAGGGTGTCCATTTATCTAAGCGACAATCGATTATTGCGGAAACTAGCGAGGACATCAAAAAGTTATTATATACATATAAAATATTCTTCATATGGAGGGGTCCATTTAATGATGCTATGCAGATTTTCACATAACTGCCCCTAAAGGGTCGAGTGTAAGGCAACTTAATTTTTTCAAATAGCACCTATACTTTTCGTCGGAAGCGTTGTTTCCCTACACTTATGATTTTTTGAAGACATTTGCGCGATTTTTGGTTTGAGCTAGGAAGCTGTCAAGAAATTAGTACATTTTTTTAATTCTTTTTCAACGATGTAAGATATCGCCAAAGAATAAGTAATATTCACAGATTTAAAATATACTAAAATCTGTGTGGTAATATTAATTATTGTTGCTATTTCAAAGTAGGTTTGAGCTAATTTTCAATCAAATTAATATTTAATTAATCTTTAGCCGATCTTAGGATATTTTTCGTTGCTAAATATCGAGCTAAATATAGATACAAGCTGGCAGTCGAAAGCATGTGGTTGCCAGTCGCACATGTTCAATATCCGCTAT